TTTATAAAAACAGAATAAAAGTATTATATAAAGTTTTTTCTTATCAATAAACAAAATCTTATAGAAGCTCCGAAGTTTACATAATCCTATTCATGTGTGAATGATATTGATATGAAGTAGAATAAAAACAGTCTCAGCTCTGCTGGGTTTGATGAAAGGATAAGGACGGGAACGGGGAGAAGGGACAAGGTAAGAACGATAAAGAAGTTTTTCTCCAGAGCAAATGTGTAGGAGACAATTAGGAATGAAACTGGAAGAATACAGGAGATCTAGAGATGGGTATACAAGATCTGGAAAAAGGAAGGATATACAAAGAGAATAGATCTCTGTTATGTGCGGACATAGCAGATCTGCTGGAAACAGGATGGACATAGTGGATCTGGAAAAGTGATGGATATAGAAAATCTGGAAAAAGGTGGATCTGGAGACGGAACGGAAATTGAAGATCTGGAAACAGGACGAAAATATTGGATCTGGAAACGGGAAGGATAAAGAAGATCTGGAAACAGGACGTAGATTTAAGATCTGGAACGAAACAGGTGTATGATATCTGGGGATGGTATAAATATCCAAGATCTGGTTGTGGGATGGATATTTAAGACCTGGAGACGGAACAGGTGTAGGATATCTGAAGATTATATGAATATCCAAGATCTGGTTGTGGGATTGATATTTAAGACCTGGAGACGGAACAGGTATAGGATATCTGAAGACTGTATGAATATCCAAGATCTGGTTGTGGGATGGATATTTAAGATCTGGAGACGGAACAGGTGTAGGATATCTGGAGATTGTATGAATATCCAAGATCTGGTTGTGTGACGGATATTTAAGATCTGGAGACGGAACAGGTGTAGGATATCTGAAGATTGTATGAATATCCAAGCTCTGGTTGTGTGACGAATATTTAAGATCTGGAGACGGAATAGATGTAGGATATCTTGGTATTGTATGAATATCCAAGATCTGGTTGTGGGATGGATATTTAAAATCTGGAGACGGAACAGGTGTAGGATATCTGGAGATTGTATGAATATCCAAGATCTGGATGTGTGACGGATATTTAAGATCTGGAGAAAGGACAGGTTTAGGATATCTTGGTATTGTATGAATATCCAAGATCTGGTTGCAGGACGGATATTTAAGATCTGAAGAGGGAACATGTTTAGTATATCCGGGGATGGTATAAATATCCAAGATCTGTTTTCAGGACGGATATTTAAGGTCTGAAGACGGAACATGTTTAGGATATCTTGGTATGGTATGAATATCCAAGATCTGGTTGCAGGACGGATATTTAAGGTCTGAAGACGGAACATGTTTAGTATATCTGGATGGTATGAATATCCAAGATCTGGTTGCAGGACGGATATTTAAGGTCTGAAGACGGAACATGTTTAGTTTATCTGGATGGTATGAATATCCAAGATCTGGTTGCAGGACGGATATTTAAGGTCTGAAGACGGAACATATTTAGTATATCTGGGGATGGTATAAATATCCAAGATCTGGTTGCAGAACGGATATTTAAGGTCTGAAGACGGAACATGTTTAGTATATCTGGGGATGGTATAAATATCCAAGATCTGATTGCAGAACGGATATTTAAGATCTGAAGACGGAACAGATTTAGTATATCTGGGGATGGTATAAATATCCAAGATCTGGTTGCGGGACAGATGATAAGATATCTAGGTATGGGACAAGGTGTATGAGACCTGGAGACGGAACGAGTGTAAGAGACGGGACGGATAAGCCACTTTTTGATCTGAACAAAAACTCGGACGAAATTGTGTGAGGATTGTTCATTCTATTGTGTCACGGACGTTTTGGATCTACATTTATGATAGAGAAAAAAGTAAAAAGAAGTCCAAAGCAACTGAGTGGGAGGGAGGAGGGAGGGAGGAGGGGGAGGGATATTGAAGAGAAGAGCTGAAAGAATATACATTACACTATACAGCACAAGGATAATGTATATTTTATATAAAGGATAAGGATAGGGCGGTAACTCCGACTCTCAATAGAATTGAATACAAATACACCAAAGATAATGGTTTTGTAGTGAGAAGCGTAGTGGGATATTTATCAAGTTTAGATTCAGGGATGCAATCTATCTCAGTATTGAGCCAGACAACCAATATACCCTGAGAAAAGATCATGTTGTATCTATGACCTGGAAATAAGAAATATAAAGCGTCCCACGAGTAAAAACAAACAATAGTTCTAGTAGAAACGAAGAAAATGTGTCAGGAGCTAGGAGAGCTACAGACAGGCCTGGAACAAATCATACTAAACAGGATCACGATTCTATATCCTGGAGTCAGAATTACAAACAAAAACCTTTCTAATATCCATCCCACAGTCTTCAACACTAAACACTGTAACAAATGGTTCGCATTTAAATCGAACTCCGTAGACGATGAAAAGTGTATTGAAAGAATTGATGAAAAAGATGAAGAAGCTGAAGAATTTGATGAAGAAAATGAGGAAGGTGAGTAAAAGATGAAAAAGATGAAGAAGCTGAAGAATTTGATGAAGAAGATGAGGAAGGTGAGTAAAAGATGAAAAAGATGAAGTGAAAAATTAAGACAAAAAGGATGAAGAAGGTAAGGAAGTAGAAAAGAATGAAGAATTTGAAGAATATGATAAGGAAGAAGAAGAAGATGAAGAAAATGAAGATGGTGAGTATGAAGATTATAAAGGAACCAAAAGAATGAAGAAAAGAAGAAGAAAATCAAGATGATGAAGAAGATGAAGAAGATATGACGAAGAAGAAGAAAATCAAGATGATGAAGAAGATGAAGAAGATGACAAAGAAGTTGAAAATGAAGAATTTATAGAAGTTAAAATAATGAATAAGATAAAGAACGTGACGAAGAAAAACATGAAGAAGATTAAAAGAAGTAAGATAGGAACAGAACGAAACGGAAACAAGGTAATCATGAAAGGAAGCAGATAATCTGGCTAAATGACAGTTTTCAAGATTTCAAGATAATATTCTTTGATACCACGAAATGAATTGTAAAAGCACGATACAGGAAGCAAAAAAAAGTTTCGAGACGTTCAATTGTAACAATGAGAATATTAAATTTGTATAGTAGAAAGGAACAGAAAATGTCAATTTAACGATATTTGGCTGAAAAGCTAAACTAACTTTTTTATTTCTATTTTCATTAAACGGAAGTTTTAATTACTTGGCTCGTTGTTTTTGAGTCAATTGCTTTTTCTTATTTTTGTTGAGTGGAACCTATTAAATCATGAAATAGGTTGTTATAGCAGTTAAATCCGAGGGGGGAGGGCATTGATTAAATGATTGAAAAAGGGGTGTAAAGGGTTAACTTGGGGAACGGGGGGGGGTGGTCCATTTAAGGCATTAATAGTCATTTAATGATGTTCCATTAATTTAACTAAATGATATTATGATATTTTGATGAAGTTTAAGAATGCTTGTATGGTGTATGGAGTATGTAGTGGGTGTAATAGAAATCATTTGTAATATCACTCTGCTCACTCTGCACCTGGTGGGACATTTAGTTTACACACATATATCAGTTTTCAGTCAGAAACATTTTAGATTTGTAAAACTGCACTTCATCAATTTACTACAAACTATGTCAGAATCAGGGTTCGAGGGTGGGGAGGGGGTCAACGTCCCCACCCCTGTAAGACTAAGATGCCAGCCCCCCCCCCCTG